AATTTATCATTTGTCGCATATTTTAAAGCCATTTGTCTTTCAATTAACAAATCGTTTAAAAGAGTCAACACTTTTGCACTCAATTTAATGGAATGAATGTCAGATTGTTTGAAGAGTTGGCTGAAGATAGAGAGAGCGCCGTATTCTTGGATGAGAGAGCTCTGGGCGCTCGGGAACTGTCGCACCAAACAGGAGATGGCAAACAACGCTCTCTTCTTGACAGTCAGCGACCGGTCGTTGACTAATAAAAGCAGAAACTCTTTCAACGCTTTTCTGTTAAACACGTGGATCTGGACCTTCGGGTTGCCATTCATAGCCGATCCCATAGTGAAGGCTACCTGTGCTCTTAACCCATCGTCCGTCGAGTTCAGGTCCGGTAATAATAAGTCGATTCCATTCATTCGGACCAAGTCTTGGCCGATGTCTATGGAGTGCACCAAATACTCCACGTCTGCTAACAAATTCAACTTCTCTTCGGTCGACGCCTCTCTATATCTTGCGATCAAAGCCTTCAAGACTTCGCTTTCCGACCGAATCTTGACATCCATTTCGTCCAAATCTCTCTTAATCTCATCAATGGATCTAAAGTTCTTCAAAAGATGTCCCGAATTCTCACTTTCACTCAACTTTTCGTCTGATTTCATGTTTTTGAGCACTTCTTTGATTTGATTGCGAATCGCATTCACTCCCGAGTTCGCAGTCTTTTGGTTAGCAATCAATTTCTTGTGGTTATCAGTGATTTCAATGTTTGTCTGCGAGTCCGGGCTCTTATTGTCCAAAATCTTGGCCTCTTTCACACCCGTCTCCAGATTGACCCTCACGTGAAGACCGGCCGGAATCACCTGACCTTCCAGTATAGGCTGCCATTCATGAGATGCTATGAATGCCGGCCTCTCCTCCACGTCTTCGTCCACTTCTTCATCGACGGACCCATCCTTTTGATCACTGGTTTGCTCGACAACTATAACACTGGTGTCGGTGTCCCTATTGGTCACCAGTGTTGCCATCAGTGACATGAGTGACACCCACACCACGAGTTTCATACATATATTCATCACTCGATGTCTTCAGTATTACGTTAATGTTTGGCACAAAACAGAGTTACAGTATTTTGTTGACAATTAAATGCCATTTCCATGGAAACCATTCAATGTTTATATTCACACGCATTGCCACAACACATGCCTTACAATGTGTGCCCCAACGAGGTATCACTCAATGCTCACCACATGTTATGTTACATCATCTACTGATTGTACAGTACCTGGATCACTTGTATACAGTATCTTTTTATATCATTTTACTGTCACATCATTTCAAACGATTTGAGTGAAAGTAAGTTGACTTGCATTTCATGATTACTAATACTGTAATCATATGAGACAACCAGTGCTTAGGAGTACTAAACTAACGCTTATGTCTTATGTCTTATGTCTTATGTAATGGCAATTGATTTGCATTTCACAGACATTGAAGACCGTGTGAAGTGGTGTGAAGTGATGAGCAATAGATGTCTTTGAGAGCGGAAGTGCTATCGTTTTATAAGCGAGTGATTCGGTTGTCACAGGAATGGCAGGCATTGAATCCATTGAATACCTCAAAGGAAAGGCTTTATATGACGAGTGAATGCAAACGACTGATCCGTGAGAACAGACACCTCACTGATGACCATCACATCCGAGCGCTCCTACAGGAAGGCATGGGTCGGCTACAAGTCGCCCAACACTACCGCATCCCTTACCCCCGACCCGTCTATTACCCGACCGGCGCTTATCTCCGAAAACACAAGTGATTTGACATTTGATTTCAAATCAATTCATTTGTCGTTTAATATGTATTTTAAACTCAATTTATAATAATGTATAATAAATGTGATAAACACTGCAATCGAGTAATGGATGGCAACTAAATGTACTTTTATTTCAATGTTTAAACACAATTGAGACACAATTGAGACACCGACCCCTTTGTGGGGTTAGGGGTAGTGATGATCAGTAGTTCAATGAATTATTTAATTTAAATGTACTTTACTTATACCAATCATAGTTATTATTAGACTTAATAATAAATGATATTAAAATACATAGATGATATTATTGTTTTGCATTTGACAATCAAGTTGGTCTCAAACGACTGTCAGGTGAGAAGTGGTGGCAAAAGTTATTTGATTTCATACACTTTGCACGTATTGTCAGGTAATCCTTGCTCTCGTCTCCATTCAGTCAATCGCTTTCGCAGCCAATCCTTTCGCAGTTAAACAACAATTTACTTCATTTTGTTTGCAATTACAAAGTGTTCATAAAGTATAAATTATACTCGGTCATAATTTGAGTGCACACACATGAACCCGCGTTTAGAGTGCACTGTAAATGAATGATTTTTTACAGTGCATTTAGTAACTAACACTTTAGTTACACTAAATTTTAGTTTATGAAACATTTTATGCATACTGTACTGTATAATCAAACGCTTACAGTATTAATACACTCTAAAAATCGTTCAAACTCAAATTATCTAACTTATAATCATTCCCATATTTTTAACATAAATTTATATCCTTTTAAACATTTTAAATACAGTAGTTTACAATTAGAAAACTTCTAAAATCATTTGTTTCTATCATATCTCTATAGAAAAACTGAATTTCTATGACCAATATAAACTTATTTGAGTAAATTGACCCACACACTTTTCTATTCTAATGAATTATATTGCATGATATTCTAATGCTGTAATTAAGTCTAAAATATATGATATGAAAGCATTGGATACCTTAACTTCTTGAACAGAGAGACTCGTCTCGAGGGCCACAATCATAAGAAGGCTTTCATTAGGATTCTGAGTGGTGTGGAAAGTGTTTTGCAACACATTTATTTGATAATCTGTATATATTTGATGACAAATTGGTGGCTTTGCTGATGAGTAAGACATAGTACCTACTGATCCCAAACTACTTCTCATTCACTCAATCGCTTCTATTGTAAATGAAGGCCACAAACCAAACGATTGATTGTATTTAAATGATTGTCCAAATAAGGCATTAATGCATCACTTTATTCATAACAATTCATTTCTTAAGGACTTACTGCTATAGATAATTATACTTGTATTCAAATGTTTTAGAAATATTGAAACAATTTTTGTAAAGTTAAATGCATTATAGCTGTATAATTTATAGCTATTGCGTTATGAAAACAATGCATATCAGTTTTATATCCAAATCAATTCAAGAAATTGCTGTATATCTAAAACCTAGCATAATTTTCCCTTTAGTTTTATATTTTAATTGACTTTTGTCTTATTGATTGGTCATGAGTGCTTTGATCTACCAAAAATTTTTAAAAACATGTTATAATAAATCAGATTTACCATTTTATCGTGACAGTAAGAATTTATCTTTTATTATAATATTTGTATTCTGTATACAATAATATATTTCTTTCAATGCTATTTAGACTTATTTATATAATATTAATAAAAATTTAATTGCATATAACTTTTGAAAGTTGATTTAATTGAATTATCATAAAATAAATTATCACTTATTATAACAATTGATATATCAACAAATTTAATATTATTATTCATATGTTACCAAGAAGCAATTATTATAAAATGATTAAAAATCCATATAAACTCTGAATACTCTAACTTCATAGTGAATTTAGAAGCAACAAAAATTATTGAAGTTTATATTGTACAGTTACCGGTATATCTCTATTGGTTACGGGTTTTATTTTTAACAACAAATGTTATACCAAAACTGACACCAGAATTGTCATTTTACCAGTTTTCCTAAAAAAGTCAATTAAATTAATTATTTATTTAAAAATGAGAAGTTCTCTCTTATGGATGGATCAGATCAAGGATCGCGAAGGGAACCAATTGTGGTAATTATCTAATATAATAGCCAATAAATTCTAATCCACTATATTTTTATAGTGTATATGACTTGGCGTTCAGTCCAGAAGGGGATCAACTAATAGTCGCGGCAGATATTCGTGTTTATGTCTATAACACCAATGATGGCACTCTTATTCAGGCCTTAAAGGGACACAAAGACAATGTGTTGTGTGTCGCCTATTCAATGGATGGCAAGAGATTTGCTTCGGGATCAGCCGACAAACAGGTCATCATTTGGACCTCAAAAATGGAAGGAATACTGAAATATTCGTAATGAAAAATAACTTATTTCTAGTGATCTAGATCACTTTTAAAAGCATTTTATATGTTGGACAGACATAACGATGCCATTCGTTGCATTCAATACAACCCACTGTCACACCAATTGGTGAGCTGTACGGCCAACGACTTTGGCCTTTGGTCTCCGGAACAGAAGGCTGTGACAAAACAGAAGATAAACAGTCAAGTGAACAGCTGTTCGTGGAGTAGTGACGGACACTATCTCGCACTCGCACTCTCTTCTGGACACATCTCTATCAGGAACAGAGTAATCAGTTTTCAGTCTTTCCATATATTCAATACATATCATCCAATAATTTGTTTCAATGCCTAAGAATGGAGAAGAAAAGACCAGAATCGAGAGAATGGGCGGTCCTTTGGCCCCCATATGGGGCGTCTCTTTCTGTCCTCTTAAGGAAGAAGATTCCGATACAATAGTTTCAGTCGATTGGACGCAATCACTCAGTTTTTATGATCTCAACGGCAAAGCGGTTTGTATTCAGTTTTTACATAATCGATAATAATATTTATTTCAAGTATGTCAAAATTTTCCCAACATATTTACAAAATTATAAAGCGCATTTAAGAGTAATTTAACAATTGATTTAATATTTATTATAAATATTTCTAAGTTAGTATATCTGATCTTTGTTTAAAAAAATTTAGCATCATTTATTTAATCTTAACAATAAGTTAGTAGCAAATAAACGGAACTATTATTCTTGTATTTTAAATATAACTTTATACTGGTTATATTGTATACAGGATACGGTATTCAGTAAATATTGTATATTAAGTAGGCCTTGATACTTACAATATATTAAAACTAATTTTAAAAATTATTTTCTTTGTACCTAAAGGTGGCAAAAGAGCGTAATATTGGTTTTGATCCTTTAAATGTATCACATTTTTGGAGCGGAGATTATCTACTGGTCAACGGATCTAATAAGAAGGCACTTCTCTATACAAAAGAAGGCATTTTTATTGGTTGTGTTGCAGAACAGTCTTCATGGATTTGGTCCGCAAAATCAAGTCCTGATGGCAATCGAATAGTAAGACTATATATTCAACCATTTATATAATTTATTTAATCTTAATAATATTATTTTAAAACAATAAAAATGTGCAAAACACTTACATATAATGAAACTTAATTAATTCTAATTTCAAACTATTTTATAAATATAATGTTCTTAAAGGCAGTTGGTAGTCAAGATGGGACGGTAGCTATTTATGAGCTAACATTTTCAACCGTTCATTCTCTCTATAAAGAGAGATATGCTTTCAGGGAGAATATGTCTGATGTTATTATACAACATCTGATTACCGAAGAAAAAGGTTTTCATATTTTAACCGAAGAGATGGCCATACATTGCAATTCTATAAACAGATTCTGCAAACAATAATTGTTGTATTGCATTACAATTATTGAATGTGAGATTATAATGCCTTAAAAAATATTTGGAAACAGTTTATAAATGAAAAGGCAATATTTAAAAACTTTGCTGAATTGGCCATCTCTTTACATAATTGTAATAATTTCTAATAAACACAATATTTATTTATATATAACTTGCAGTTCGCATCAAATGCAGGGATTTAGTGAAAAAATTGGCCATTTATAAGAACAGACTGGCTGTAAGTTTGATTTTGAAATACAAAACCAATATAAACTTAATATTTACAACTCAATGAATGCACCGATAGATACAATTGCCTGAAAGAGTAATCATATATGAATTGACAAAAGAATCGGATAATACAGATATGCATTACAAAGTGAAAGAGAAAATTAACCACAAACTCGAGTGCACTCTAATAGTGGTTTGTTCTGAGAATCTTGTCTTATGTCAAGAGAAGAGACTTCAATGTCTTTCATTCAATGGAACGATGGAAAGGGAATGGGCTTTGGATTCCTCTATCCGTTATATCAGAGCAACAGGAGGTCCACCTGAAAGAGAGGGTCTACTCGTCGGTCTCAAAAACGGACAAATCGTACAAATATTTATTAACAATCCGTTTCCAATAAATATCATTAAGATTGCAAATCCTATTCGATGTCTGGATATAAGTATACTCCGGAGAAAATTAGCGGTCGTTGACGACAAAGGCATGTGTTCTGTGTTTGACTTAAGAACTAAACAATTGTTATATCAAGTAATGAACTCAATGTTTAATTTAAAATTTACCTTTTAATAAACAAATTGTTATATAGGAGCCAAATGCCAATTCAGTTTCATGGAACACACACTTCGATGATATGCTTAGTTATTCAGGTGCCGGCACTCTCAGTATTAAAGCCGGAGATTTCCCCGCTCATCACCAAAGTCTCCAGGTAATTTATATTCTTCATATTTCAATCATAATAATATGAAATAAATTTATCATTTTTATACAATATTGATTGTTCAATCTAAATATTAGTAACTTATTTTTGAGAGTCTTAAAAGACAAAAACTACACAAAATAAGTGAAAAATTGAGATTGTTTTATTACTAAAATATTTCAATTAATTTCATATTTATTATTTCAATTACTATTTCATATTTATTATTTCAATTACTATTTCATATAAACTTTAAATTTAAATATTGGAATACTGGTATAATGTATATCATTATAATTATGCATTGGATTAAGGGTTTTGTGGTTGGATTCTGTGGGGCTAAAGTGTTTTGTTTGCAATACAATTCTGTAACAACTGTTGAAGTCTCTCAATCGGCGCCAATGTATGGTTACATTGAGAAGAATATGTTTTTGTAAGAATTGACTTTAAATCAATTAAATACTGTATTAAGTGTTACCATAAGTAATGACTAATATAATGTATATTATTTTAAAGAGAAGCCTATAAGACTGCATGTCTCAAAGTGACTGAGTCGGACTGGCAGATACTGGCTAACAGTGCTCTCGATAATATGAATCTAGAAATAGCTAGAAAAGCATTGATTAGAACAAAGAATTGGCTCTTTTTAGAGCTGATCCAGACCTACATCCGGTCGACAACAACTCAAAGCAAATCAACTGAGTTGTCACTAATGGGTGATGTGATGGCCTACAGGGGCTACTTTGCAGAAGCGGCCAAACTATACAAGCAGTCAAGAGATGAGAACAAAGCGGTGACAATGTATAGTGATTTGCAAATGTATGAGTCGGCTCAGGAGATGATGAGTGCCGGTGCCGGTGTCGGTGCCGACTCACACAACAGTCGCCAACTAAACAAGAAGAGAACCGATTGGATACACAATTCTAACGAACCGAAGGCTGCGGTTGAGATGTATTTGACTTCTGGCGATACGGTTAAGGCGATTGAGATCATTGGCCAAAACGGATGGATTGATATGTAAATGACAAATGAATTGTATTTATAATAATTGTATAAATTGTTTGAATTGAAGGCTTATGACAGTAGTTCGTCAGTTGGATAGGGCTGACCGAAAAGCCCTGACCCTATGCGCCGACATTCTAATTAAGAGCAAACAGTACTCGAATGCCGTTGAGGTCTATAAAAAAATAGGTGACGTTCAGAACCTGGCTATGATTTATATCAAGTCGAGTCAATGGCAAGAGGTATACAATTATTTAATGAATAATTATTATTTGGCGCTCAAGTCATGCATTTATCTCCGAAACTCTATTACAATAACTAATGGCAGGCATTCAGACTCGCAGATGACTACCCGCACCTCAAACAGGACGTGTATGTGCCCTATGCTCTATGGTTGGCTGAAAACGATCGTTTTGTCGAAGCACAACAAGGTATACCTGCCTGTGCTCTGTCTGTGCTCTATCGGTGCCAGTCCTGCAAATTGCAATACATCTTCACTTTTATGCCATTTCTCACAACTGTCTCGCATGCGATGCAAATGAAAACGACTTTTACATAATAATCACAATAATAACAATAATCATAATATAATAACTTAAGAATAACTTGAGTTACGCTCTAAAGACCTGACAATTAGTTAAAACTTTCTCTTTCTTTAGCCTTTCATACGGCAGGGAAAGTGACTGAAGCCTCGCGCGTATTACAACAGCTAATGAATAATGCAATTAATGAGAATCGCTTTAATGATGTCTCCTATTACTGCTGGATATTAGCCAACCAGTGCCTAGACCTGGCCAAACAATCACTACAACAGCCCCAACATGAACAACAGGCACAACATCTCATCGACAGATACCACGAATTATCAAACAAAGCAGACATTTATTACGCCTATCATAACATTTACAGATATATTGTAAGTCTTGAACATTTTATCACCACTTAATCATTAACAAATTAGAGCACATATACAGTACAGTTACTGTACAAATTAGTATTACTAATGTACAGTACCATTCATACACTTTACCAATCTTCCCATAGACTTCATAAGGGTTTGATCAGTTATTTGACAATCATGAATATAATTGCACGAATTTCACAATTTCCAATATAATGCAAGCAATAAGGATTCGTATTTGTGATTAAAAATTATTTATTTTCTATTATTATTAGTTCATAAATCACATAATATGAAAAATTATTAAAATTGATATTGTTTAATGATCAAAGAATTTTGTAATTTAATTGTTTAACAATTAAAAAGACTTACAAGTTAACCACAGATTCTTATAAATTGTGCTATGGTAAAAATTTATAACAAATAATCTTTAAATCAAGAATAAAAAATTCTTTCAATTAAGAATTTTAAAAATCAAGAATAAACTACAGTATACAGTAGTGGCACAGAATGAGAGGCATTAAAGTAAATCCCAAATTTCACCCTGCTTTTATAAATAATCAGTATTAATACTGTCAATACGGTATTACTGTATAATATACAGTATAATATTATTATTACTGTCATAGTAGAGTTCAAATTCGCCATTTTTTGTTCAAGCATACCTAATAACCTTATTAATGTTATTGATCATTCATTTTTATAACTTATAAAATTAGAAGAATCATACTAAATAAATTACCATTAGAATTTTAAATATTCCAATTTATGAACTGGTTCAATAATATCAAGTTTCTATATATCAGTTCCAAGAAAACGAAATAAATGTGAACATATCGATATTGCTTTAATGTGAAAAAACGTGATTCATTGTTTTTTTAACATTTATTTCGTTTTCTTGGCACTGATATAATACAGTATAAGAACTTTTCTATTTAACTTAATTTTTAGTAGTACTGTATTCAAATATCACTACATGACACTAGTCTAGTACAGTATAATAATATTATGATGAATTTAACTATCATAGTATGTAATTTATAATTAAAAGTAACAATTCTTTAAATAAACTCTAAGTAAATGCAATACAACTAAAATAATCAAATATTTAGATCTAGTTAGATTAATATTTGTAAATTTTGAATTATAACTAATAAAATGCTATCATAAAATTGGCTAGTATGTTGAACATACTATGTTCATAGAATTTTCAATCCGATATACATAATGTATAATCTATAACTTATAAGAAATTACATAAATATTACTCTATATTTAACGAAATAATGTTAATCAGTTTGAAAAAAATTATTAAAACGGTTTATTTGATAAACCGAAAAAATGAAAGATTCAACAAAATGAATATATTTCTCTTATCATCAGTTTTAATATTGATATAAAAGTGGATTTCGTGGCACTGCGTGAGACGCCAGTGTCTGAATCGAAATATGCTATTAAGGGGCGCCTCAAACACCCGTCCACTCCAAATACAGCTGACTCTTTGCGCCACAAAGTCTAGGGTCTGCTCTCAATGAACTGAAACACAACAATAATTTATTGTATTTTATTTTTTGCAAATATTACTAACTTTACTCTATTATTACGAGGAATTCAATGTTGAATAAATAATATAATAGTTGTATTTGTATGGGAATGGGTTATGGGTTAGGAGGAGCCGTTCACAGCTTTCTTTCCCGACGCTCTCTTCAATATGGCTCGATATCTGTTCCACTCAACTATCACTACATCACCAGAAGGTGTCTCTAAAGTGTATGTCTTCCTAATAATAATAGTTGTCATATACTCTACTAATCAGTTGTCAATTCAATGTTTAGTATTATATTGTATGCGTTGGCAAAACAGGGAAGAAATTTGGGTGCTTTCAAACTCGTGCGACACGTGTACGAGAAGCTTCACAAAATGCATGTCCCCAACAGATTTCAAGATGCCATCGATATGGGAGACCTCACTATTAGAGCCAAACCATTCAGCGATTCTGAGGTCTATACAAATCCATACATTCCACACTTATATTAGTCTATATTTCAATATGACACCAAAATACTTTAACATCACTAATCATATCACAATACCTTAAGATCGTCATTTATATCATCTTTATTTTAATCTTTATATCTTTCTTACTTATCATTTATATATCTATTATAATATAATATATACACAGTATATGGTATGTAATTGTTATTAAAAGATAACTAGAATTTATTGAATACTTCAAAGTGAGTTGAAATCAATTGAAAGACATTTAGGAATAATAGATCTTTTTTAATGAAAATTTAATAAAATTCTGTCTAAAATGAGAAAATTTTCTAGATTTTAGTTTTTAGTTAATTCTAAAATTCTATGACTATTTTTCAATATATTATACTAATAATATTTTTCAATTAATTTTAATGCATTATAAATATATTTGTTATGCTTATAGGACTTACTCTCTTTGTGCTACCGATGCTCAACAACTAATCCTTTATACAATATTAATGGAAATCAATGCCTAAACTGCAATCAGCCATTCGTATATTCTTTTGCAACGTTTGGTAAGTGAAAGACAATAATTTAAAATAAATGATAAATTAATTTGTTAAATGTTTGAATTGATTGCCAAATCAGATATATTGCCTTTAATTGAATTCGAGATCGAAGAGGGAATATCTGATGTCATGAGTTTAGTTAATCAAAAGCCAGATCTCGAATCAGATTTCAATTTTGAAGGTATGAGTGGTTCCGAGTGGCAGGAAGAGAAGGCAGACAATTATCAATCATTAAAGTTGGGCGAAGATTATATGAACACTGAATACAACAATGACTACACTAATGACAATTCTGGCGATCCTTCTGGTGATCCGTTTTCGGCCACTTTGGCCTCATATCAAGAATCGGACCAAAAGTATAGACCCGTCCGCGTGAGTCGCAAAGCACTGGAACGCATGAAACCATCGGAAATAATAGTCGTTAACTTTGGTCCGCCGCTCACCACTAAATACTACCGAAACTTGATGCCAGATATTCCCATAACAGTCTGTCAGTCTTGTTTTAAGGTACCCCTCGACATATTCATTGTATTTTCAACTCAAATTATCCTTAATATTATTATTATTATTATGATTGCTAACTTAGGTCAAAAAGGTAAGGCTGCTTAAGCTCTACGTCCTCTGCCCAGCCACGGGAATGACAGCCAGAGTTGTAGTTGCGGTTGTGGTAATTGTAACGTTAACAAACGATATTGCATTTGGTGTGTTTATTTTATCTTATATTCATTTATCACTATTTTTAAGAACTTTTCTATAATCGATGAAATCTAATATTTGTAGAGAAACCTAACAAACTCTCACTCCTCTCTGAGCACCAAATAAACGGCAAAACTTGTTCAATGACTATAAAGTGCTTTCATTTCGTTTATCAGAGTATCAAATCGTATTATACAATAGTTTACAATATTATACAATATAACAATAGTTTATTATTATTAAATTAGTGATCATATATCAATTATTTCATTTATAATTATTGAAATGGATTTGTTACTGTAAATTTGTACAATATATAAATAAAATATATATTAAAAATTCAAGATGATTATAAAAAATGAAATTAAATTGTAGTGGATGAGATTATTGGGTTTATTAAAGGATTATTGATATATTTATGTAAGTTGTGTAAGTAATTGAAGAGTTTTGCTTTGAATAGGGCTCACATGAGTTCCTAAAGTCTATATTTGAATCAATCTTTGAGATTGAGTACTCAAGTTGTTTTGATCACTACTAAAGTTTAGGATGCTTAGTTTACTTTGGTTACAAGTTCTCAATTACTTTTTGAGATTTGAGAACGTTTTCATTTCGTTTTTTTCAATAAAATGTCAAAGAGTAAAGTAAAATATTTTCAATAGAAATAATGTAGAAATATTTTAATGATATATGAACTGACAATAGATTTGTAGGATTGGTATGAGATGTGGTCAAATGATTTTCAATGCCAGCATAGGATGTAAGGGTAGTTAAGATACGAGTTTCTAAGGCTTTGCGTTGTGATTGAGTTGACATTAATGTACAGTACATACAGTGTGTGACAGTATTATGGTCTGTGATGTCGAGTGTGTATACAATCTTTCAATTTGAGACCCTCTAAGGGGGCGTACATTCGCTGCTCACTAAACGTCATACAAATTGTCATCCAATGAGAAATGAGAGCAAAAAAGACACAAAAACTTTTTACACTGGTATTACATAAGTAGTAGATGTGAGACAATCAATGGACAGTAGGTTTTAATGAGTTTTATGTGAGATTCACATTGACATACCTGAGCTGCACTCACGCATAGTGCCGTCTATCCGACAGACAATGATGACCCACCCCTTCATACAGGAAGCGCTTGTTTGTTCACCACATCAACTGGAACTGATAGAAATGGTCTAATTGTACTGATATACATAGTATGGGATGGGATGTGATGTGATGAGATGAGATGGTAATGCAGTGGCTAACGGATGAGGAGCCGGTGTCTGTGGCGTGAGGAGGTATGAGAGTGAATAAGAGCATTAATTAATTTAACTACACAAAACATCTAAATTTTGCTAAAATGTCTCTTACAGTGCAATACTGTATATCCCATTCATTTCTATTTAAAAGATAAATTAATTATAAATATATTTCTATTTCTACTAATAATTTTATATACCAATTTCTAATATGTTCTCAACTGTTGCATTCAAAACAAATAGCTTAGAGATTACAAGATTATTAGTCTTATAGAATTACATTAAAAATAATAAACTGAACTGTAAGAAATGAATGATATGAATTATACCACACAAGGATTACAATAAGAATTAAACTCTGAAATAGTAATTATGTTATTCATAATATGATATATTTATTGTACATATTATATGGAATATGTATAAAACATCGATTTTGTATTATTACTATTTATTACACACTCTCTACTAGTAGTGTTGAAAAAATATTGAAATCAAATAATATATATGAGGTAAAATGGTCAATAATATGATGTGTTGTTAAGGTAAGTAAATTTATATATCAATTGAGATAACTTGAGAGAGAGAGAGAGAGAGAGAGAGAGATGACAATTTGAAATTGCATATTTTTTGAATGACTGTGTGCACCTGTATTACCTGTATGATATTATATAAGTGGTATGAATAAGTTGAAAAGAATAGTAAATTTAGATGACTTAAGGGCAGCTAATGATTAGGTAGTGTAGGATTAGTGTAATTCAGAATTGAGTACATATTCTCGTATAATGCAGTATAATATAGCGTTAAACGACATATGGGTCTCACGATAGTTGAATTGAATTGAGTTTATGTGAGAAAACTTCACAGTTTATAATTAAATCTACTTTTCCTTTTAATGACAAAACCGGTTACTCTTGTGGCAAACTGTGGCCAATGTATGTGTTGTACAGTGAGTACAGTATTGTATTAGTGATCAGTGATCTGTGCGAGTGAGAGACACGGTAATATAAACAGTAGCTGAAACTCTACTTTTTAACCAAAAAATTAATAGAAATCTCTGTAAAGAAACTCCTTAACTAACTTTTTAAAGTTCATTAAGGTTTACAAAACATTTAGACACTCATCAGAGAAGTCTAATATTTATATATTATATAAGAAAAATGACTGTTTGGCACAACACAGTTCACTTGTTTGCCAATTTTCTGAAAGGGTATTCCCCATCAATTCATGAATCACTGGTTATAAGCCTTTGTATTAAAATTTTATAATAATTAAGCAATGGCTTTGAATTATCTAAGTTTCGTTCAAGTTTTAATACATATTAACAATCAAATACGAATAACTCTTATACTGTATTAACTAAAGTTTCCAACAAATAGCAGTTACTGTTCAAATGGAAGTGCAGTCACATTAAAAAGCAATCAAATAATTTAAAGAGACTTATGTTGTGTTGTGATCATCATTAGAGATAATTTCATATGAATTAAAAACTCAAGCAAACTCAGCAAACGAGTTACATATTAAAAATTATCTGTCTTAGACATAAATTACAGTTTGTTATTATTTATGTCGTGAACTGATAAGAAAGTAATGTGTAGTTTTATGTCAGTTACGTGACTATTTAGTTTCACTTATGGTTATTGAAAATATAAGTTTTGTAAATCCAAATAATTAGTACTTGAAGCAATAACAATAAAATTAGGATTAAATAAATAAAATTTTATTTTATTGATAGCAATACCTTTAGCGATGAAATTGTGTTCAACTGTAAGCGATAGAGTGGTAGTCTGTGGAGTAAAGTATCGCACCGAAGATTAGGATGTGATCTTTGGCACAATAATTGACACCATCACAATTTTTGTCCTATTAAATAGCAATACAAAAATGTGCCAGTGCCAAAGCCTTTGTGCCAAAGCCTTCTGTTTGCCAATTGTTTCTTACGATAGCTAATGAAGCAAAAGATTAACTTTTGAAGCAACCGCTCCACCAAAGACTTCATCAAAAATATTTGCTTTCAAACCTTTGGAAATATATGAGATAATGGATGATAACCTCTGAGAGAGAGAGAGAGAGAGAGAGAGAGAGAGATGTAGTGGTGATAGGATGAAAGTGTAGCTTGGTGAGCTTTTGTTTCCTTTTTCTTTGGCACCCGAGAACCCACGACTTTGAACGTATCGGTGAATTCTTCCAGTGCCAAGGGATAAGGAGGACAAGGGATAAAGGTTTACAACTGACGTCAGTATGTAGTGATTATATGGCCAACAAATACATGTTTTCGTTGATAGTAAGTGGAAAGGGATGACTGGCAGTGCATTGTTCGCAGTTTAGACGTCGACGCTCTCGATAGCACCAGAGAAGCCACGGCTACTATGATATAATGCCGTGAATTCTTCCAGTGCCATTGGGAGAGACCACTTCCACTGCCTAAACAGGCATTCATGGGTCAACCATGAGAACGACCAACACTTGTCAGCCCTTCCAAACATTTCATACCATCCCTTCCCTCTAATAGACTTTAGTTTGAGCTCTCTTTAAAATAATAGTTCAAAAGTTTTGCCAACAAATTAAAGAAATTAAAACATTTGATTAATTCAATCATTAAAGTAATTAAATCAGTGCTCAAATCGATAGAACGGATATCCGTTAGAGATGTTGTCATAAAAGTATAAATTAATGATTGAGAAGCAGTCATACAGTCATTATTTATGCTAATCAACGCATTAAACACTTAAATCTTGAACTCTACACTTATAGGATTGGCACTAACTTTTGCTACCAAATTGCTATAAGATGTGAAATTATATCATATTATGTATAAAATATTTACAAAATTTAGATCTAATTAAATTAAATATTGTATAATAAGTACAACATATATATTAAGTTTTAAATAAGAATATTCTCATTAGTAAGAGGAATCGCCTAATAATTGATCCAAGGAAATGTATCTTACACCAAATCTTTTATGTGTATAGAATATTTTAAATAGCAAAACCTTTTAATAATACAGTATAATGCCCTACACAGGTATGTATTTATAACAAAACTTAGTCTGCAACTATTTTTAACTACAAAACCATGATCTTAGTAAGATTAAATAAAAGTTTTATTATAAATGTTTAATATTCTATTAATTAAAATGGATAATATATTATAACTTTATAGTATTAAAACTATTTAAAGGAATTGTTAAAATTAAGTCTAAATAAAGTTGCATTTTATTGCAGTCTTTGTTAAATAAAAATATGATTGCAATTATTATGAAGCTTAGATTCTAATTAGAAGTAAACTATAAACAATAACATGTACTGTCCTAACAAGTTAACCATTATTATTTGTTTGCATTTTATTGCAGTCTTTTTTAAAATAAAAATATGATTGCAATTATTATGAAGCTTAGATTCTAATTAGAAGTAAACTATAAACAATAACATGTACTGTCCTAACAAGTTAACCATTATTATTTGATTCCACTTATTATTTCAAATACAATTATGTGACATATTTGAAAAATATATATAATATCATATAATAAATAGTACCAACTTATTTTAAATTCAATATAAAATTAATACAGAATAGTATAAACTAATGTTATCATTTATAATTTATAAAAATTCGTTGTTATAACTTATGATTTGAAATAAACTATTAAATTATAGTAAAGTAAGTAAAAAAGAATAGAGAAGTAAAAGATTAGAAAATGTGTAAAACAGTGATCGTATTGACAATGAAAGCAATCAAAGAGAATATATGCCATTATATGGGATATGGGATGAAGCAAGTCTTGAGTGCGAATATTGGCAAAAGTGATACATGGGTGACAAATGTGTGAATTATGAGTTTTGAGTTATTTATTGAATAAGTGATGCATGAGATGGTGAGATGAGTGAAAGATATAGTGCTTAAAGCCATAGTCTGTCTAATCATTGAACTGATTCAGCATTTTGTGAATTGCTATGAAATTAGTTGCTGTATGAGAATGGAGTCAATGTTCTGGCAATTGCTGAGACTAACAATAAATTCATTGTTTAAACAATAATTAAAGTGAGAAATCGAAGTAAGATGCCGGTGCCGGTCGTTAGCAATGTATATTCGCCACCTGTCGGTCCCTTAATTTAGTGGCAAATACTTGAATCGCTATTCATTTTTTCATATCTACTCCAAGATTGTCGTCATTACGTAGATATGAGGCACAAAGCAATGACACAGCAAATGGCAGGCAAAGGCAACACTTACTCCATGAGCGCACCGGACGTTAATGTTTATGATGAAACTTTTCGGTTGGCTCCACACCACTAATCAAGTGGTGATCATAGCATTCATGGCATGAACAGCACCAGCACGAGTATTATTGCCAAATCCTGTCTCACTGTCTCACGCACTCACTCCATGAACATCATTGCAGTCAACGTATAGTCAATGTATAGTCAATGTATAGTCAATGTATAGTCAATGTATAGTCAATGCAGTCAAACCATTTCCACCAACTTCGACATCAAACTTATTGTTCACTACAATATTCATAATCTATTCTCATATATCACTAACACCTCATTGTACACAACAATCAACGATCACTTATATTAATTTTATTAGTTCACTAAACAATTTATACCAATTATATATATATATATATTTAAATCAGGTTTTAAATATGTATAATTATACGACAGTCGGAGTATACTATCGATTGTCATCCCATGCAGTGATAGTGATGTTAATCTAAATGTATTGATAATATGTATCTCAAATGATTTGCTTATCATTTATGCATTTGTGTGTCGATGTGCACCTGCCTTATGATGTGTTGGTTGACATGAGATGCAATGAGAGTGAGAGAGTATGAGAGAGAGAGAGAGAGAGAGAGAGAGAGAGAGAGAGTATGAGAGAGAGAGCATAATAGCGACCTTTTAATATCTTTGTTGAACTTTTCTC